CAATACAGCATCACAAATTCTCAGGCATTCCTTCAAAGGATTGAAGGTCTTAAAGTAAGTCCTGATGAAAGTATTCTATCATTTGATGTTGTCGCATTGTTTTCCTCAATACCACATGACCTTGCCATTGAGAGCGTGGCCCAACGCATACGAGACAATCCCATCGACCTTCCAACACATCACGTTCTACAATTGCTTAAGCTCTGCCTCAATAACTATTGCCAATTCGATGGCAAATACTACCAGCAGGTTAAGGGCACCCCAATGGGTTCGCCAATTTCGGGGCTACTTGCAGAACTAGTCTTACAACGACTAGAACAAGATGTTGTGCAAAGTTTCCAACCAAAAACGTGGCTCAGATACGTAGATGACACATTTGTCATCGTTAAGACCTGTGAAGTTGAGCGATTTCACCAGAGCTTGAATGGCGCCTTCCCAGCACTACAATTCACTCGTGAAGATGCAAAAGGAGGCACCCTCCCGTTCCTAGACGTTAGCATACAAAAGCTCAGTGACGGCGGCATCGGAACAAGCGTTCATCGGAAAAGCTCTGACGCTGAGATCATCCTGAGCTATCAGAGTAACCACCCAGCAGCCAATAAAAGAAGCTGTATTCGGACCCTTTTCCACAGGGCCTATCGTTACTGCAGTAGCGCCGATTTACTCAAAGATGAACTGGCCTACTTGTATCGTTTTTTCCGACTCAACGGATACCCGACGAGCTTTGTGAAAAATTGTCTCAGACGTCAGCAACAACCACAAAACGTCGACTCTAACGGAGACAGGGTATCACGGAAATTCTATTCCCTGCCCTACATGCCGAGAATTTCCGAAGCGATCGCTCGACAATTAAATCAATTCGGCATCTCTATCGCCCACAAACCGGCGTCTTCATTGCGCACGACATTATCCCGGGTAAAAGACCCCATCCCGAAGGAGCAGCAAACAAATGTCATTTACCGCATTCCATGTTCAAACTGCTCTAGCGTTTATGTTGGGCATACCGGCCGACGACTTGGGACCCGCATTAACGAACATAAGTTGGCCATCCGCCGACGGGACCCCTTGTCTCTCGTGTTTGCGCACTCCCTTGAGTGTGATCACCGCTTCAACTGGGAGGGGACCGAAGTGATCGCTAGTGCCAACACCAAGCAAGCGCGAGAGTTTCTAGAAGCTTGGCACTCTAATAGCAATAGCATCAACCGCCATGTCGACTTGGACGCTCAATACGAAGGCTTACGTTCACGGTTCGCCGGCTTGCGCCCACCCTAAGCCACCAACTGCTAATCCATGTTCGGCCATGTAGAATATCATGGATTCAGCACCTCCCCCACAGAGTGAACCATGTGTGAAACCCCCAACACCATCCCTAAAGTCCGCCACCTATCCAAACACGTTCTTCACCCCCACACATAAACTCCTGTCTTGTCGATGTAACCTCGATGTCCCCCTGACTCCCCAGTAGGATTATCTCCCTCACACTTTTCATTTTCGTCTGACGACGGGTTGGTGTAACCGACTTGAAAATTCACGAGTATACCTCGATTTTCCGACAAGCCTTCTCCTTTTATTATATCGCCTCGGAATGCATACTACCTCCATTATTCACAAAATAGTATGATTACGATCACGCATGTCAGTTCTGTTTAAATTTATTAGACACCGACCGGCCTCATGGCATGTCATCTTATGAAAATCTTTGTTCCTCTGACGTCCCCATCGGTGAACTCAAGCAAAATCCAGCTTCTCTTGTTGAACCCCATCTCATTTACTTCAGAGAAGTAAAATAAAACAGGAATCACTGGAAAACTGTTTTGGAATCTACACTCAGAATGTAGGCAGTTGACAAACCGTCATATATGAAATCACACTACTTATTAAACGATATTTCGATGTAAACTTCATTAAGACACTTTCATTAGACGTTATTTTATGTCTACTTTCATATTTACTCCGTTTTCGGCATTAGAATACATTCTCTATCTCTAAAAACGAATTTTACTTAATTAGAGCCATTTCTGACGTTTTCGGGATATTGCGCTTTTCAAAATAAATCGGCATTTCTTAACAACGCAAAGCTGCCTATAATATTTCTTTCATGTTTTTAATTATATGAAACTTGTACTTAATTAAAATAGGCATTGGACTCATGAAATGGTGTCGGTTTGCGAGTGATTGGCAATCATTCATAAA